TCAGGAAATTTCTCTTCAGGAAAATGATTTTTTTTTCTATTTTCTAGCTTTCTAGCTTTTTCTATTTTCTAGCTTTCTCATTGACCTCAATATTTGAACATCTTTGAAAGACTCAAGCAAGGTGATTAACATTCACTACATTTGTTTCTCATTTGTCTCCAAGGAAAGAAGGATATGAAGCATTTTGCTTTGTGTATAAATATCACTTTTCTGCCTATTTTAGAGAAAAAAATATCCATCCCTTACAGCAGAATTTATATTGCTTCAGAGACCATGACTCACATAATGCGGTCCAGAGAGGTGAGCAGAGACTAAAACAACTGCACAAAGGCAACCTTTTAGTCCTTCAAAAGTAAGAATTGAGATGTCGATCTTGATTCAAGGAGAAGACAAAGCAAAGCACCTGGGACAAGTTAACTGTGCACCCTGGGAGTTAGTGTTGCTAGGAATATTCTTGCAGCTTTCTCTAAGGGTTGGTATTTTGAAAACACCAAAGGCTGTAGCAGTTTGCAATAGAGTACATTATGAAAGCACAAAATTATGAAATTTTCAGTCCAGAAGCCTTTATAACTTCACAGCAGCTGGAAATGCCCAATCCTCATTGTAAAATTTTTCATTTTAGGACTTCTAAGGTTTATTTATATACAAACACTTTTCATCAGCTATATACAGAAAGACCTGCCTGAACATTAAGAGGAAACAGTTCTGCTTGCTGTTTTTGTTGATTTTCGCCCCCATATGTATCTGAAACACAATCTATTAGTAAAACTTTTTAAAGCTGAAACACAATCTATTAGTAAAACTTTTTAAAGCTGTAACACCTGGATTTACCTTATATAATCCCAAACCTAAACACAAATGAAAGAATTTTGCTCGAGATTCTTTCCAACAGATGTGAAGATGTAGCTGGTATTGTTTATTTCCATGCTGTGAAAGTGTCTCCAGTCAGGCAACCACATCAGCAGCGGTGGGATTTAGCCAATTCATTCATGTTGATCTGAGCCTAATGGACATGAAGATCCAGAGGAACAGCTGAGCTTTTTGACAGTTCCTCTGCCGCTCAGGTAATCTACAATGATTGCTTGTGTGGAAACACATGCAAGAAGCCAAGCATAGGGAAGATTTTTTGTAAAACAAGACTTGGAAATATGACCCCATAAAATTATGAGTCACAAAATCTGACCGTGTACCCACCCTGTTTAGATTGGCAAAGCACAGCTATAATCACAAAGAATTATTTGGTGCCAATCTATGGTGGATTCCACATGCTCAAGCTTGGAGCATCTCCCCAGGTGTCTGTGGCTTGAAAAAAACAGTTTCACAACTCTGCTCCTAAGTGTACCAGAACTTTAGATAAAAATCTCAGTCCCCTATACTGCCTATATAGCATGTCACTCAGGGGGAAATCTGCAAGAAAAACAATTACAGGAGGCAAGTTAACGTTGCTTTAAATAATTTTATTGTAATGGACTCTTTAAATGACTCTGCTTTAAAGTGACTCTCTTTTAATGTGGGGTTTCATAAATAAGCAGCATAAACCCTCACCTGCTTTAAAATATAAATCTGAATGTTTACAAGATCAGATCTCATCATATTCTTGCTCTTACCATCATTGTTGTGCAATGTATAATTTTGTTAGGAATCATTTCTTTACCAAGAGGGTGGTCAAACTCTGGAACAGGCTTCCTGGACCGATGACCCCAAACCTGCAGTGTTTAAGAGGCATTTGGATGTTGCCTTAAGTTGCTAAGCTTTGTCAGATGGCTGGACTAAATGACTGCTACACGTCCCTTCCAACAGAAATAGTGTATCCTTCCCAATCCTATCCTATTTATTAGATGCAACAGTCCTTTTCCTTCCCTTGTTCAAGATCACATCACCTGAAGAAAGCTTGCTTTGTGCTGTTTTCATACAACCATGGTATATGTGATCTGCTGCCTTCCTTGATTTTGCTCCTCAGTTTATGAATCTTCAGCAAGGCCATGTTTATCTCGAGAATCTGGGTGGACATCACCAAACTCAYGTGAAATCCAGCTGAGAGCCTGTAAAAATTAACTGCTAATTATTCTTAGCAGGGCCGTTTTCTCATTTAACAGGGATTACAGCTTGTTTTCATAGAATCAAACAATATTTTGGGTTGGAAGGAACCTTGAAGATAATTTTGTTCCAACTCCTCTGACACTGTCAGGGACAACTTTCACTAGACCAGGTTGCTCAGAACTCCATCCAACCCAGCCTTCAACATTTCCATGGATGGGGCATCCACAGCTGCCCTGGCCAATCTGTTTCAGTGCCTCACAACTCAAACAGTAAAGAATTTCCTCTTCATATCTAATCTAAACCTACTCTCYTTCAGTCCAAAACTCTTTCTCTTGACCTGTCACCACATTATCTAGTAAAAAGTTCTCCATCTTTTTTGTGGGCTCCTTTCAAGCACTGGAAGGCCAAAACTACCTCATCCTGAAGTCTTCTCTTTTCCAGGCTGAACAATCCCAATTTTCTCAGCCTTTCCTCACAGTAGAGGTGCTCCATCCCTCTCATTGTCCTGGTGGCCTCCTCTAGACCCTCTCCAAGAGCTCCATATCCATCCTTTGCTAGGGAGAGTGAGACTGAACTTTTAAAGTTTAATGACTCAATCAGCTGCTGGCAAAAGCAGCAGATGATTTGCTGGGGAAAGATTTGCACGCCCAGCCAGGGAAACAGGAGAAATTTTGGGTGTGTGGTGGCAAAGCATCTGATCTGTTTAAAGACAGCCCAGGGGTAGAGGGGATGAGCTAGGGGAGGATGACCACCAGTGGTGTATGGCCACAACAAACACACCTTTGGCAGCAAGCTGGGTTTTGAGCCAGATGAGGGAGAAGGCCGRTAAGAAGCAGATCCTGCGAGAGACAAACTTTTTATCATGCCATTGTCCTCCCATGCACAACTGGCTCAGGTGTAAAAGTACTACCTGAGGGAGGTATCAGGACATTCTCACATAAACCTGGAGATATTCATCCCATCTGATGGGGTGTAACTAGCTCAACTACATAGTCTTGATATTTTTAAGAGAAATACACTTTGTCCCTGTTCAAAGACTACTAGAATATGCCTAGTGCTACAGAGAGCACCTGCTGGGAAGAGAGGTAGCCAGCTTGGATTTGGCATTTCACTAAACTTCCCACTAACCGGGAAGCTTGAGCAGTGAATTTGAACCTGCAGGAGAAACATCACAGCAGCCATTCCCCCTGGTGAGACAAACTGCATGAGAACACTCCCCTCCCACTGCCTGTAGGTGGTGAGGGATGGGTAGAGTGACCATCAGGTGACCTATCTGAGTTTTAGCCTTAATTACCTGAAATATAAAGAGTGAATCACTGAAAATTAATATTGTCGTTTTTTCACAACCACCTACCACTTAATTAAGAAAGCCCTTAAGAGTTTGTCTTAGCCCTTCCTGCAAGTTGAATAAGCCCATCCTAGAAATTTTGCTAGTAAGACAAGTGCTGAGCCACCCTACCTAAACAGCAGGTTCCCAGAAAGAATTTGAAGGAAAAAAGGACTTTTTTTTTTTTTTTTTTTTCTAGTAAAGTAAGCTTTTTGAAACCTAGGAAATCCAGAAGCTGCCTGTGAGTTTCTGAATTCACTGTAAGTTTTGCATAGGACAAAATGGATAACTTTTATTTTTACAAGAGGCAGTATCTTTTCTTTTTCCTGGAATGGTATCTCCCCTACATGATATGTCGAAGATGAAGGAGCAAGCAACATTATTTATTTCTCTAAATCTATTTTGGAAACTGATTTATTGTAAGGAAATTAGGAGCTATCTGTGTCAACACCACAATTACAAAAACATATTTCCATCTAGAGTTCTTATGCCACATAAAACAAAAATTAATTAATGACGGAGAGATCTATAAAGATTAGTATGATCATAAAATTGACAGATGAATAGTCAGTAAATGGCAAAACAACTGGAAGTGACTAAAATGGCAGAAGTGAAAAGAGACAACCAACCAGACTCATAATATTTAAAAAGCTGGTAGAGTTATAACATATTTTAGGTTGAAAGAGATCTCTGGATGTCATCTAGTTAAACCYTGTCAGCCACAGCAGGGACAGTTTGTTAATGCTAATGTCTTAGTGAGTTCTACCTATTCAACAATAGAGATTTCAGATTTTCTGTTAGCATAGTCTAAGTACAGTTAGCAGCACAGATAAACAGGAAACATCACATCTTTCTTATTTTATTAAAATTTATTGCAAGATCAAAGGTCTCACAAAAAATAGAAACTTACAAATTGTGTGAATAGTTTTAATGTACTCATAAAGAGCCATTAAAAGAAAATTGACGAAGATTCTGTACTATATCTGCAATATAATTCACTGGCTTTATTCTTAAAATATTGTTGCCATTTTGGAGTAAATAGAAAGCATAGCATTACACATGTTCACAAGTATTTACTACTTATTTAAAACAAAATCTTTATGATATATTTCTTTTCCAGAGAAATTAGTTCATCCCCATTTTGAAAAGTCTAATAAGAAAACATTCAACATCCTCACTGTAAGTAATGTGAGCTGATGTTTCTGTTGTAAAAAATTATGCTATGGAAATCAACAAACAGCTTTACAGAGTTATACAGCCATACTAAACAAGCTTCTATGTTATGCTGCATTAGGCCTTCTGGATTAGCAAAACATTTTGACAATAATGGCAACTTTTCAGCTGAAGCTTAAGCATTTCATAGTTTGGATTAAAATGCTGTAACCTTTGAAAAACAAATATCCAGTGTTACACACCTGACAATATTCTTAACCAAATGGTAATACTCTAAAGGTTAAAGCAACTCCAAATTGAAGCTGCAATGTCTACATTTTCACAATTCCCTGCTCAAATTTAACTCCTTAGAATGCAATGTGTGAGYGAGAGTGAGAGAGAGGCTGCATGGTACTTGGCTGCTGTTTGGGGTTAAACCGTAACAGTCCCACAAAGAAAATCAAACATTTTATGTATTTGGACATTTTCTTGCTCTCACTGTATTAAGAAGCATCTGATCCTACAGAATGATACCCCGTGGTGGGACTCATGTATAGATGGCCTTCTCAAGGTAAGTACTCTTGTCATTTCAAAATCCATTCTAAAACAACAACCACACAGGAAATGAGAGAAATCCTGTTATTGATGATTTACAGCCATCCATCTGAATTTTCCAATTCATCAACAAAATAGCATAGTCAGAGGAGACAAGTTCACTTAAAATGGACAGTAATTTTTTTCAGCCAAATACAATAAACACTGTTAACTTATTTCTGATATTTGGTGYATTCAACTATTCTTTGTCTTCATGAATCTAGCTAATTATTATTGTTAGGTTAAGCACTGCTACTCGTTATTAAAATGTTGAGGTGGGAAGATTTTAATGTGGCTACAACTTCTTATAATAAAAGAAAAAATTAAAGATAGTGATAAAAAAAGGTAATTCACTGTAGATATTCTTATTACTTTTATTCTAAGACCTCTGGGGTAGCTTTAGTAAATAAAAAGCATCAAGTTTAGTTCCCAGTTTCAACACAGGCCCCTGTTGATCAACTGCACTGGTGCTAGCACTGAGTTACCATTTACAGATCAAAGGAAACATACATGACCAAGGCAAAGTAAACAAGAGGAAAACAAGCTTAACATCTATAACTCAAACTATCCAGAGAACTAGTAGGAATCCACTTCAAGAAATTTGCCAAAGGCTTTTATAACTTTTATGCAAATAAAACCACAAAGCATTTCTAAAGTTTTGCTTCAATATTTGTACTTAGTTGTACAGTATGTTAAAGTCAGTGTACAGCTTTTTGCCATTTTACTGTAACCTCTGTAAACTCACAACTATATTGCATCATAGGAAAGGTTTTCATAAACCCTTCTGCAATCCCCATTAGATCTACTGAATGCAGCAGAATGAAACGTGTTGGTACAGGAGGTTAAGAGCCAGAAGACATGTTGGGTGTCCAGCCCATTTGATAAGCCCGCTCCAGTGTTCTCTTGCAATCCTGTAGCACAGTACTGAAGGTTATGTGAGGGTATTGCTGCACCAGCTGCTCCACTGTGGCCTCATTCACCTGCAAGCAAAGAACAGAACCTGTGATGGGCAAAAAATGAGTTAAAAGGGTAAGAGTAGGCAAGCAAAATGAATGGACAAACTTTGGATTCCTGAGCAGGCTTGCAGGATTGGGCTCCTCACTATTACTACAGTTTTGGATGCATTTATCACAAAATAAAYGTGCAGAACATAATGTTCTGTTAGAGAAGGAAAAAAAAAAAAGCACATGCTTTGGTTTAATTGTAAATGGAGAAGTTTTACCATCCTGGTTAAACAACATGATATAACAAAACAACAGACTTCTACCTTGAAACAGAAGTTATTTATTCAAAGTTGCTCAATCAGACATACGTTTAAAAATGTGAGTTTGTTCGGCTTTGGAAAATGAAAATTGATTAAATCAATTAATTTATGGCACAGTTCTGGATACATTTACAAATACTAAGTTTGTACATTTAAAAACACAATTTACTTTGCTGAAATGAGCTTGCGCTGTATGGTTGCGATCAACAAGTCTTTAATGAAAAGTAACAGATAACATGACTAAAAATGGGGAAAAATTTAAAATTATTCTGTGTTACAGATAGATTAGGTACTCTTGTTTGTCCCTTTTTCCAAAAGTTAAAAGTCCTGYATATCTTCATATACACCACTGGCAGAAGATTTTATTTTATCCTTATATTGTGAGGATAATTCTGAAGAAAGAGTTTTGTGGGCAGGAATGGCGGGATCAATAATTCAAACCTACAAGATGGCTGGGTCTGGGATGTGCCTCTTAAATCTGAGACATTCAAGTTAGCACCTTTATTCTTCCTAACACAAGACAATCAGACAAGCCCAGCTAAACCCAACACCTTTACAATTGCAGTGCTGTGAGGGGATTAATTTGTCAATTATTTTAAAGACGATTGCAGTTCATATCACAGAGGTAAACAGCTTTCTTCATCCTTTAGACAAATAAAAGATTAACCCAAGAATTATGACTTCTAGCTGGCTCTTTGAAATCTTCACTGAACAGTTGGGCATTTTAAAATGCATTGATACTGCAGTTACCGAACCACCCACATCAGTGGCACGTACAACTGATGGCATTATTTGCCTTTTTCCCCCCCGTGTTCCACATTCAAGGCCAAAAGTAAGGAGCCAGACTGAAATGTTTACTACCATTACAAAAATCCATCTTGCGAATAATATTTTAAAGCACAGTAGCCACAGTATCTAATAATATTTTTGTCCTTAAAAGATAACAAGAGCTTCCCTCTGAACAGTGATTGCACCCAATGACAAGGATAAATGAAAGGTTTAATATCCAGTTCTTCTACTTTGATAATAGAAACACTCAATCTTCATTGGAAGTTTCATCTAGCTGAGACTGACTTGTATAGAAAACTGGTTCAACTTCACAGTACAAACTGTACTTCTCTGGCAAATTGCTATGTTACAGTAGTATCTTCCAGTGCTGAAAAACGAGAAGTGACTTTTAATAAATCAAAATGAAATCAGAGATAGCACACGTATCCCATAATATTTGATATTTACAGCTGAATACATACTTGCAAACTGCAAGCAACAATTCATTGCAATATTGCTTGGAAGGGAACAGTCTCTCAAAGTAGCAGTAATTTCCTACTTTATGCCTATTCAAAAACAGTCAGAAGTCTCTTTTCATTAGAGTTAAGCTGCAGAGACTCATGGCAGAATCCATCACACTACCAGAAACTTCTCTTAATAGTTTAACTCAGCCACAACAAAGATGCTTACAACAGACATCTGCTCATTTTGCTCTGACTGGGAATCTTGAAGAAGACGCATTATTTATCTCCTGGATAGCTGAAAATATTACAAGCACATCAAAGTTATTAACATTTGGCACTCTTGGGCATTACTTGTTAGAATAGCATGGATATGATGGCTTTAGAGCCAGTGTCATAGGCTGTTACAAGAAACATGAAGGTGCATTCATTACGAAGATGATGCCGGAAATGATCTCCAAGTCATGGTGCACTGGACTCAGGACACGGACARAAGGTACAGCCTAGTGTGGTATGAGCTGATGTATTTGCTACCAGCCAACTTCAGCATGGCCCATGRCAGACACATGATTTTATCTTTTAGTCTTAACCCATGAAAAAATCTATGGTAAACCACTTAGCACTAACTGTTTGTCCTAAGCTTTTTCTCATAAAATTATTACTAGATAAAATATTTAATAAAATTGTTGCCAATTATTACTAGTTTACTAAACAGCAGTGCCAAATACAGCCACAAAATAAACTGAGTATAGAGAAGGCAGATAAAAGCATCGCAGAAGTGCTGCTGAGAAAACCAGCTATTTTCTGACCAAAGCCTGAAGAGTAAAAGCTTTTCTCCAGTTTTTACTGGAGTATTAAATGAATATTTTAAATTATTAGTTTGATCCTAGATAATAACTTGTGTTATAACTTTAACATTAAAAAGCAAAGTAATGACAAATCCTATGTATGTATTTGGAATCATAAAATTTTCAGAAAAAAATTTGAGTTTGAAAAACTGAGTTTACTCTCATGATAAAGGAAAAAAATAACTTATCATAATAATGCCTTCATAATAAATGATCAAATATATGTCACTTTAAGTTAAACAGAAGCATTTTTAATCCGAAAAGAGTAAACAGAAAAGAGTTAAAAATGATGCCAAATTAAATTCAATGTAAATTACACAAGAGAAGAGGGAGAAAATGGATCTTATTTGGCAGTGGGACAACCAGCCTGGATCCAGAGATGAGAAAGAAATGACTCTCTATCCGAAAATTTTGACGCCATTTCTTTACCATGAGAAAAGTCAGATCATATGTTAAAACAGCGAAAAACATTTAGTATTTTGAACACTCTTTAGTATTGGATTACAACTGCACTATCTGAAAGGTAAAAACACAGAGAAATAAACATTTTATTCTTTATTAATGAATGTGAAAAGTAATATCCAAGTCAACTCCCTTGTCATCATTTCCCTGGTGGTAGGATTAAGACGAAAAGAAGTCTTACACCCAGCCATTAGAACACAAGCTTTTGTCTCTTTGTTAAGATCAGCCTGGCTGGTGATAAAACGAAAGGACTGAATGTCATTCCCAAAATAAGTTCATTACACAAACAGAGCAATTTTCCCTTCTGAGCTTAAACATTCTTGTTCAATGAATGAAAACAAAAAATCTCCACATCTTAATATGCTTTAAAATGCGATATTTTTCTTTCACAGGACTTTCATTAATCTTCATCTTTTGAGTTGTCAAAAGAAAGACTACTGTCTGCAGATAAACTAGTTAGATTGTCTAATACATAATCATTCATTTGAATTTGAATAGCTCTTCAATTATATTTTAATGCATAATGAAAGAATGCAGCCCTTATCATTAAGAATGAAAGTAATAGGTTTGTGCAAATCCTGGTCATCAAACAAAAAAAGAAAATAACAACAAAGACTGGTTTGAAACTTCTTTTTTCTTGTCGAAATAAAAATTTATCCCAGGCCAAAGAATAGATTAAAAAAACAAAACAAAGGAGAAAATGGGTTACAGAAGCTGGGAAGACCAAGTGGTATTATCTCCTTTTAACTCAATTCGAGCAGTTACACAGAAGTCACAATTTTGAATACTTTTTGTYTAAAAACACCTGAACATATATTGTCTATTTCCCAGAAGATATACTTGCATTTGTGACAAATGTTGTTGGGGAAGGACCTCCTTAGTTTCTTCTTCATCTATGACATCTAATGGTTGTGAAGAGAGTATTTAAATATCAGTGCTAAAGAGTATTTCTCATGTAATGATTAGGAATTCATCCTGGAAAGAAGAACAAGAATGTTCTTCAAGGCCATGTGAAATGGAGCACTGGCAAAAGGGTTTTGTGAGTGCCTCTTTGGAGAACTTTCATCTCACTCTGCTTCGTACACACAAAATGTGGCTGAAATACTGAGAAAAATGGTAATTCAGTATTCAACACGTTTACTTTACTTTAGGCAAAATGATCTGTCCATAACAGAAAGCCTGAAAAACCCCATTAATCTGTAAATATTTTTCACAGGATAAAGTAACCAATACTCATGATTTTTTCAGACTCAAGAGTAAACCGAAAGTTACTCACAGAAAAAATATTCAATCATATTTTGATCTGGCATGCTATATTTACCCATCTAGTCTGATTGCCAGTATTTACTAATGTAGCAGACCACTCATCTGACACAGAACATCTTCAGAAATTTCTGTTATGCCACCTTCCACAAGTTTTAATGAAAAATTCAAATTACAAGCAAAAACAGTTAGCTATATTTTTTAAAAATTAACCTTTGTTTTCAGTATGTTCCTCCAACAGATTTTGTTAAAAGAGTCAAGTTTTCCYAATCCTGTTGAGGTAAATTAGAGATTACATATGAAACCATCTGCCAAACTAGGTATTTCTTTTTAATGAGACTGATAGTTTCATTCACAATTCAGGAACAGAGACTGAGGTAGAGGGGTGTTTCCTAAACAGGACTTTCCTAGTTTCTTAGCTTATCTTTAGCTGATAGCACATTCTGGTATCTTCTCTGGGACTGGATATTCCTTCGCTAAATTGCCAGAAATTGTAAAATTGTCTACTGATTTCCAAAACTCCTCCTATAGGTGCATCAAGGTTAGTCTTAGAATACAGTTCAGACTCTGAAGCCATTAAAATGTGCCAAGAATGTCTGTGTTGTATCATCTAGGGCAATACCAAAAAGGGAGAGTAGAGTTATCACCTGAATTTCATATAGCTCTACACAGTAAATGAGCATTCAGTATTTAAATCTAAAGGGTCTGAATGGTCTTATTCAATAACAAAATCTAAAGATCTTCACATCCTAATGACTTCAAGGTAATGACCAACCCATTATTGGTTGGTCATTATTGGTATCAATTATTCAACTTGATAATTGAAAATCTCCATTCCAAGTTAATAACTGAAACCAATAAGCAGTTATATAAATAAAAAAGCTAAAGCCTTCCAACCCTATGCTTGCAAAACT